GGGTGGTGTTACTTCTGCCCCAATTCCCCGATGAATCAGCAGGGAAAAAAGCTTTAACATGAGGTCAAACCGTTTTCAAATGAGTAACAGGAGGTTAGCAGGGAACCACAGCTGCTTTACCTGGATATATGCATGTTAGTCTTAATCTTACTTTAGTTCAGTTTTGCCAAATATGTTTTATTTAACCAGGAATCTCAGTGTTCAAAAGCAAGTCCTGCTTCTGAGTGTGAGGAGCAGCGTCAATGTCAGGCTAGCAAAGGTCAAACAGACCATCGCATGCGTGGTGCCTTTGCTCAGAGAGAGCACCTCACCCCACCCCCCAACCGGCCCTCCATGGGTCCAGCGCCAGATTGATGTCCAGAGGCCAAAAGTCACATAAATGAAATGCAGGACTACTGGAAGATTAGAATCAAGAAAAAAGAACTCAGAATCGTCACATGACCTCAACTAGGAGTCAGATCACATGATACACCAGAGCCACAGGTCCAATCCACTTAGATACAGCACAGCAATCAGTGCGGCCCCCATAAATGTGTCAGAGAGGCAGCTAGATGGGGCCACGGAAAATCAGGGGGTGGCACCGAAACCAACAGCCATAACGGAATTTTAGGAATCCCATTATGCTGTTGCAGTACTTAGACTAGTTGAAAACTGTCAAAATGAGAGGTTAGGAGTCGCATACTGATTACTGATTGATATACTTTGATTTCTGATTTTATAATTAATGTTAATAATTTAAAATTCTGTTACACATGAATGATTGTGGACGATATACATTATTGTAAAATTAATGTCAAATATCAGATCGAAGCATATTATGCAGCAAATGCTTACAGTATGTGACTCACTGGGGGGACAATGGGGGGGGGACAATTGCAACAGGTTGGCCGTGCCTCCCCCACCCCCCCTCGATGGTGCCACTGACAATAATTAATGCCCTGTTTCTCTTAGACCTGCAAAACTGATGGACTTTTATCATTTAAGAATAGTTTTAATTTGCTATTAAACAATAAAAAAAAACCAAGAAACCTTTCTGTAGGGAAATAAGTGAATCACGTTTGAACGTTACCATTCACGAGTTAATATTCTGAACATTCTGCTTTCCAGTGGAGCGTGTAGCTCAGGCATAAACATCAAGGTGTGTTTGTGCTCCCACGTCAAGCCTGGTGGGGCTCCACTGGTCCCGTTAACACCCCCATCTGCCAGTGGGGTTACTCATCCCGTTCTGATAAAGGTACCATCTCCTAGATGCTGAGGCTGAGGCTGAGGCAGCAGACCACATAAAGAAAGCAGGATTATTTTACCCCTGCGAGGTAATATGAAAAGGCGGCTTTATTCAGGGAGGGAGAAACAGAGTGATTGCATGCAATTATTATGGCCCCGGTAAATTATCCTATAATTGGCAAACTCTTAATGTCCTTCATATTATCATCTTTCATCTCATTTTACCTGAGTGAGTGAAAGGCTCTGTGCTCTATACAGATTAACCAGATCCACACCAACGCCCTGCACATGAAAGGAGTGGAGCAGCATTGGTGGGGGGGGGGGGGTCAATTTCAGAATTACATTTGACAAACTGACCCAAGAGAGGAAAAACAGATGTATTGATACTGTGCTCACAGGAAGTCTTGGGACACTTGCTTAATTCTGTAACAATGTTGCAGATTTATTGGTTTCATAACAAAAGTCCATTGACTAACAATGTTTAACATATCTGCACATATCTTACGCACAGACATTTCCTTTTTATTACATGTCATAATTTTTTTGACTGACTCATTCAGTTCTGTTGTTGCCACTTTGCTATTATTTGCAATTGTAGTCACCGGCTCCCAAAGGGATACTAAACACAAATGTTTGGTGTTTTATGTTACTGCAAAGGTGTTACTTATTAAAAAGCACCCAAATGAGACTGCTAATCAATAATTTTTTTTTGATTCAGCAGAGAGCAACTTTTAAAACTATAACATAGACTTCAATTTATTACTTGAAATGAATGCTTTTCTTAAATCTACTGGTTGTTCCTAATATGATATTTTTTTCCTTATAAAACAAATAAATGAAGTAATTATAAAACCAATAATTTTTTACTGAATTAAGCAACTGTGTGTATATATATATAATGATTCTTCATGTTTAATTAACTGTCCACAACTTGCCAGCAGTTGCTTTTGGTCTTAAAGGGGAAGTTCACCACAATCCAGTCAGTTCACAGGTTGTCCTTCAAATACCACTGATGTTTCTTTCATTAGGTTAAAAAAACTATCCATACCAGGCAACATGGGGTCAGAAACATTTTTAAAGAGTTTGCAAAGCACTGAGCTATGAAAAAAAGGCATTAAAAAACAGAAAACGTGTAAAAGATAAAATTTCTGAACAAAGTTCAATGTGGATAGATGTTGGATTGAACTCTTCTATTAATCCGTAAAGCTCAGTTGAGTACTTAAATTGAGCTTGTTCTGGGAAATTCGCACATCTCCGCTATGTGCAGATGAACAGGTCACACTCTCTGCTGCCTATCTCACCTTACTCCCACTAGGCGGATAGACCTGTAGTCCTCTTAATCAGCTCTGCCCTTTTAATAACCTCACCCCAACAACTGGAAGTGCAGTGCATCCCAATGCATAACAGAGGCGAGGCGGCACAGTGGTGCAGTGGGTGGCACTGCTGTCTCACACCTGGGATCAGGGTTTGAGTCTCCGCCGTAGCTCCATGTGTGTGGGGTTTGCATGCTCTCCCTCCTTGTGGGGTTTCCATGGGATACTTTGGTTTCCCCCCCATGGTCCGAAAACTTGCTGCAGTTATAAAATTGTCCATAGCAGTGAATGGAGCTACAGCACGTGAGCAGTCAGTCAACATGCACTTTCACGTTTAACTGGCACATGCTTAATCACCACGGGGACAACAGCTTGAAAAGCCACTACGCATCTTCACGGGGGCTAATGTCATAAATGAAACCAGCACATCTCTTATACAACCTTTCTCTTCCTTCTGTGCCATTGATTTTAATGTCTTATGAGTGAATTAAGGGAAGGATAGTTAATCTTGAGCAAAGTTCAGGCAACGTTTCAGCAAATTTTAACGATTGTGACGTTTGGCTCTGCTGTGGTGTCATCCCTGTGACTGCAGTTCACAGCTGTGTCTTGGGGCAGTCATGTTTAAAAACTGATCTAGGCTGAACGGAGGGAGCAGCTGGCTGGATGTGAACATTGATCGAGGGGATACATCAGCCCTTCAGCTTTTATCAGCTGAAGTTCTTACATCCAAGGACTTCGTCTAAAATAATGAAAATGGCTCAGGGCTGTTCAGTGCTTGTGTCCAACTGCTTTTGGTAAAATCTAGAACTCTTGAATTGTAGCAAAGGAACTGGAATGAATGGGCAAAAATGATAATGACGAATTAATTTTCAGCCCAATTTCCCTGGTCAGGGCTGTGGTACCAATATAATGCAAACAATAAAAATCTCATTCCAAAATTTATCAATACATCTTTTAACTGGTTTAAATGGTTGGGGTCACGGGGAGCCAAAATCTTTTCCCTGGCAGCACAGGAGACAAGGTTGGGGTACATCCTGTATGAAATGCCATCACGAGGCACAGACAAGCACTGATTCACAATCATACACTATGGGCAATTTATAGACATCAGTCAGGCTGTCTGTATGTGTAGAAGCTGCAAACTCCACACACACAAAGCTACCTACTGAGAGAGATCCAAGGAGGGAAAAACCACAACCCGCCAACAAGGTATTGGCCGGCCAGGACTCGCCGTTATGGGACGTGAATGAAGACTATCCTCTGTCTTGTACGAACCAACAGGAGGGCTACTGTGGCACAACTGGCAAATAAATCCGAGGATGGTCACGGGAGAGATGTGTCACGACACCGTGCATGGAGCCCTGTAGCGTATGGGGCTACGTATCGGCCTAGCGCATCCCAGAGATGCTAACGTGTACCCGACCATCCACAGGATACAGCAGAAAATGGGATTCATCAGACCAGGCGACCTTCTTCCACTGTGCCAAGAACCAACTGCGATACTTTCGTGCCCATTTTAAGTGCTTTCGATGATGAACGGGGATTAGCAGGGGCTCTCTGATAGGCCTGTGGCTATGCTATACCAATGGTCATAATGGTATACGGTATATACCGTATATAAGACTTTAAGGAAGACATCAGGGTAAAAATGGTTTTGAGTAATGGAAGGCCTACATATGTTCGGACGGCAATGACAGGCAACACCACCAGAAAGGTGCTGCATGAATTATGTAAATGAGGTGATTCATTTTTCTGCAGTATTTTTATATATGCAAGAAGAGGACATATTGCCATGTGATATATTTGGAGCCATCTGGGTCACCTAAAGTTTTTAGGGGTTATGCACTGCATGGTGGTTTCGGTGCAATTTGGCTGAATTTGAGTATCTCACCTGATTGGGCTGGTCTGGCCATCTGGTGTACTGGGCGTTTTCCCAGTGTGTCGATGGGTTTGTGGGGAACCCGAAAGCTTAAGATGGATTTTTACTCCCAATCCTGCCCTGCTTTTCCCTGAAACCACCTAGAGTTTTCAGGCGTGTTCATTTCTACAGGAATGTTGTTTCTTCAAACAAAAAAATCCTAAACATTCACCTGCAGTATCTTCAGTTAAAATATGTACATTTAAACACCACAAATGACTAATTATCGTGTAGCTTTAAAAATGTGTACATTTCATAAATACTGGTTTAGGCGATTCATTATTATGCTTCATTATGTATTATAAAAAAAAAAAAATGGCTTCTCCTGAAATGCTAACCAGCATTAGCGTGGCGTGCGCAAGCATCTATTACCACCAGCCGCCCCCCACTGCAAATGTCCCTCTTTTCAATTATTCATTACTGTTCAACAGGCTGGAGACCGAGGGGCTAAACCTCGGCGACCCTAATCACGCTCGGGCCTGTGTTTAGTGGAAGAGATGCGCTTATTAAACATGGCAGCGGCGGGCGGGGGGGGGGGGGCTCACCACATGACTGGGCCTCAGGGAGTCCCCATCGAACCGTGTCAGGCTTGAGCTGTCCTCGGGGAAGATGTCGCAGTCCTCCAGCTCCTGCGGGTTGCACGGGGGCTTGTCCTTCTCCACGTTGGCGTTCTTAAATATGGAGCACGTTTCAGAAATGAATAAATGATGGTTTCATTCCGGCAAGACTATCTTGAATTTCACACAGACTCAAACCTCAAAATCAATCAACAGGTCAATGTGTGCACAAAACGAATGACATCAGCAGTATCAACCGGCTCCAAAAATGCCTGAAAATGTATAAAATCTGACTAAGATCCAATATGAGAGCAGCCTAATTTCACACATAAATATATGAGCTAGTAGTATTATTATTGGTTTATTTACAGTTATTCAGTGTCATCTGTGTCCATACTTAGAGTACTAGAATCAGTGGAAACTATTTCTATGAATACCATGTCTATAAGAATCCATGAACTCATTCATAAGACATTATAATTCATACAGCATTTTAAACATGCTAGCAATATTTTAAAAAAAGACATTATAGCCATGTGGATTATACATTATGAATGCCTTCAACGCTCTCAGCTATAATGCACTATAGGTACCTTCATAATGCAGTACACAACATTTTTCATTCTTATTCTGACCACTATGATGCATTATGAAGGTACCTACAGCGCATTATAGCTGAGAGCTTCATTGGAGCTTATGAAAGATCATAATCAACACGATAATGCCTTATGGCTGTCAAAGGAAGATGCTGAAATGCTTTATTAATTCTTAACCTGACCATTGTGAAGCATTAGTACTGTTAAAAACAAGCATTAACTGAGAACTAGGAAAATGATAATAATCCGGTTTAACATATACACCAATGATGCGACGTTGACCTCCAAGGTTCCCCGTGAGCGGGCTCCTTCCCCACCCCCTAAGGCCCCCCCGCTCCTTCCCCACCCCCTAAGGTCCCCCCGCTCCGGCTCACCCCGTCCTCCGCCGTCAGGTGGGCCAGCCTCTCGTGGAGAAGTGCGGCCTGCTCCTTGCTCATCAGCTGCTCTCCTCTGCAGTCCCCCGTAATGAGCTCTGGCCACACGGTCCCCTCACTGCTCTTCTGCAGGGAGACCTCCAAGCTGGGGGTGGGGGGAGGGGGGGGGCACCACTGTGTGCTGGTATCAAAACTCTCAACAGCATACAAAACCCTAATCATGCCGATGATACTGGCAGCTGTATGACCGGATAAAAGCTAAATAGCTTTGGTAGGAAAGAACATTTAGTGAACTAGTATACAAAAAAATCAAAGGCTTTCATTTCTGTTTATGACTTCTGCTTTAGTCGCTTTCTTTGTATCTTTTTCCTGAATCATAAGGCCTCACACATTTTGAAGGGAGATTACAAGGAAGAAGGACATCAGCTGCTGAAATAGCAGGTGAGAATTGACAGCCACTGCTTGGAAAGCAAGAGAAATCTATATTACACCCCAGGAAATTGGTTTGTATAATTACTAGTTAACTGTTATAGGAGAAAGGTTATAAATGTCTGGGCTTGATAAATATTGATAAATATGCCTGTAAATACAAACTGTGAAGTTCTGCACAATGTGTACAAACCCAAAGCACCACCATTAAAATACAGCGGTCAAACATTCTTTGTGGGACGTCATTTTCTTCTATTACTTCTGCATGTTTCTTTGTCTAAATTGTCATGCAGGTTGTCAAGAAATTGCTGGTCCAGCAGCCACTGCTTGACAGACTGTTCTAGATGTAACCTGAACGCCGGGTGCAGAGAAAAAAACAGTCATCACACTGCTCTCTGTCACTGCTTATCTGACAAGAGGAATGTGTGCCCCCACACACACACACACACACACACACACACACACACACACACACACACACACACACACACACACACACACACATACACACGCACGTCAGACATCTCATGCAGAAAAGCGACTGACCCTGCAGCCAAATAGATAACTATTAAGTGTGAATAAACAGAGGGGGGCGCTCTTTTACACAGCCCCCCCACCCAGACACACAGGACAGGTACAGGCACCAGTGGATGCCTTCCGAACCCCTTCCGGATGGTCGATCTTCATCAAAGCGCCACAGGAGGCGAGACTTGAACAGCTTCCCGTGACCAGGAACGCCTAGAACAGAATCGCTGCCGACCGTTTGCAAACCAAACGCCAATCCCTGCCTGGTTCTGGTGGCATCTATGGCCCGGCTCACCTTGCGTCTTCCTTCAGGATCCAGGTACTGGATTCAGGATCCACCAGCGAGTGCAGCTGCCCGTCGATGAGGGGGGCATGGTCTCTCACACCGACCCTGAGGAGCTCGCTGGATATCTGGAACAGGACGTCCTCCTTTGAGGTGCCTTTGGGCAGTTGTATGGACACTGTGATGTCTTCTGGGGTCTGGTACCAGCAGTAAGCTGGACCTGTAGAAAAAGAGCCAAGTGCGGAAAAAAGTATTTCTAAAACAAAGAAGAATGGTTGCCTCTAAAAGGAAACCTTGTGATGGTAAAAGGTTGCCTGGTGTACAGTGTTTAAATGAAAAGACAAAGTGTGTATGTGTGTGTATAACAAAGATTTCTTAAAGGAGTAAAGGAGCCTTTAATGGTTTTTGGAATATTAAAACTTGGAAAGAAAAAAAATACACTTACATTATAACACTTTAGCGAACAGTCCTATCCACCTCTACCAGAAGCACTGGCATTTAGGTAAAGTCTTTCAGATTCAGTCAACAGTAAATTTTCTGCATAATATATAACCAGATTTTGGTGGATGGGGTTTTGCAGCAGGGAACCTCTAAGTATTGCGGTAATTCACACAAAAACATGATCAGATGTGCTGTTTATCTGGGTCTGAGCAGTGCTGCTTCATTCAAGGCAAAGCATTTCTCACTTCAGAAAATTCATATTAAGGATATTAACCGTGAGGAAAAAATGAATGTCAGCCTTTCTTAGCTATCCAATCCACTTTATCCAATCCATATTCAGTAGTAGTAGATTTTTTCTTTAAGGATTTTTTTTGTTGTTTTAATGATCTTTTGCATTGTGTTTGTGCGTGTGCTGACATCATCATCATCGTGCTCCAAGCGGAGTGTGGCAACTGTGTGTGCGTGGGCATCATGCCCATCCAAACAAAGCTGCACTGGCGGCCGTCCGCGGGCGGCTAACGACCGGCATCCATGTCCTTGGACGCAGCCTGGGTATAACGAGACCCACTGCTTCATGCACGATTCGTTTTGGCTTTGAAGTACAATTGGAGCCTCATTTAGCGAGTCGAACAGACAGCCGGGTAGGTGCTCTGTAATAACAGAGCAGGAAGCCGCACGGAACCAGCAGAAGCTGGATCTTTCAGGTTTAAATTGGACTGGATCGGTGCCAACCGTCTTTACGGCAATCAGAAGTCTGTTGCAGATTGTGATAAGAAAACATGTCACTGAGCTGTCATTGTCATAAACTTACATGCCTTTAAGGTTTATGCATTCTGCTGTTTAAAAATAAATCAGTTCAGTTGTACAAATGGCATAAGTAGAGTATTCACACCCTTGTGCAGATTAATTGAAACAAGTTGTCACACAGACATGCATGCAGAGACCTGGGACCTGCTGGTTTGCAGAGCCAACAGGGCAGAGGATGTGCTGAATGGATGGACAGAGGTGGCACTGTGCCCACAGACTGGCAGGCCTGCTCGGGTGGAGTTAGAGCTGGGTGGTAGGACTGTGCTTCAGCAATCCACCAGGTCCTAAATCTGGACCCAAGGCAATAAGTATGGATTAAGAATAACATAAGAACATAAGAAATTTACAAACGAGAGGAGGCCATTCGGCCCATCAAGCTCGTTTGGGGAGAACTTAACTAATAGCTCAGAGTTGTTAAAACCTTATTTAGCTCTGATTTAAAGGAACCCAGGGTTTTAGCTTCCGCTACACTAGCAGGAAGACTATTCCATACTCTAACTACACACTGTGTAAAGAAGTGCTTCCTCAAATTCAGTTTAAATTAGTGTTCTCCCGCTAATTTCCACTTATGGCCACGAGTTCTAGTATTTAAACTAATATTGAAGTTGCCATTTGGCTGAACAGCATCCAGACCTGTTAGAATCTTATATACCTGGATCATGTCCCCCCTTAGTCTCCTTTGCTCGAGGCTAATGTGACTGTGATGTCTGTCTTAATTGTGGTCAGTCAGTCTCCATATAGATGTGACAAATCTCAATTGATTTGGACAAGGGTGTACATTTTACCTTGGAAAAAAACGTATCTCTGTGGACCTAAGAGTATGAGGCAAGCGACAAGGTGCCCCAGGATTGGCCAGAGAGGTGACGGGAACCACCCCCTTTACAAGAGGGACACAGACTGCTCCTCATCCAGGACCACTCACAAAAACCAGTGAAACCCAGTGACACCAGACCAGTACATATACACTCCCAGAAGTCAAGTGTGCGCATACGGCCAGGTGAGGCAGGGCTGCTATGAACTTAAACCCGCGTACCCCTCTCTCCACTGCCAAGTACCTTATTAGCAAACCAAACAAATTTTCATATCATTCACAGACTGGAGCACCAGCACCTGGTGCAATTTGTAACATTCAGAAAGTATGAAGGAAGTCCTGCCTCTTCCAAGAAAGCTCACATACATTCATTACAACCCCTTGTCAACCCAGGCTTGGGTGTCACCACACTCCACCAGGACACCAGGAGACCCGTGTCCATGTGACTGTGAAGCTTCCTACCTCTTATAAAGCCTGCAACACGGACAAAAACATAATAATAATAATAATACATCGAGGAAGGAAATAAAAAACATTCCAGTGATACACTACAGTACAGCAAAGAAATGCATTACAGGTCCTGTTTACAATAAACTACAAAGTACATAATGTTTAACAGCCAGGTGCTGAAAGACAACGGCATACGACTGAGCCTGACGGATCCTTTTGGGTTTTGCAGCTGGTGTGGACAGGGTTCTATCAGGTGATTCACCAGCACCCTAATCCCAGCAATGACAACTACACAGCGATAACCTTAACCACAAGTAACCAAACGAAATGAGTCCACAGAAATTAACTGCCTTTAAGACTTTTAGCAACTTTAGTCTTCTGATTGCAGTCACAGATCTTTATAAAAATTGAGCTTTCCCTTGTGGGGACCGAAAAGGTCCCCACAACATCAAAATAACAGGTTTGTATGACATTGTGGGGACATTTGGTCCCCATAATGTAATATATACATAACCCATCCACCCACACGCATACCTAACAGTAAAGAACATGTTAATGGCACCAAGAGAGCTGCAGTGGAGTTCAAACCCACAAACTACAGGGTGTCAGACCGCAGTGCTGCCCACTGGGCCACCCTGGACTATCCATATGTATTTGAAACTGTCAAACGTATTTCAATGCAGAACGACGATATGCATCACATAAAAGCATTTGTGAGACTCTTGTATGAAGTCCAGATAAAATGAGCTTACAGCTCTGTTCTCTTTTCCCCTGAACTTACTGCTTCTTGGTGTTCGGAGACACCTTTCAATACTTCCCAGGGAATAAGCAGATGGTGAAAGGAGGGTAACACAAGCGTGGCAAGAGCGCGGTCAGCCCCATCCTCCCTGCTAGGCAACATCCTTTCTGAGGTACTCCATTTGGATTACCATTGCCGGGGTTTCTATGGTTACGACGCGCCGTGGAACGCCTCTGAGCTTCCTGGGGTCAAAAGGAGGGAGTGAGATGAATGAATATGACATATAAATGCAAGAAGAGCTCCGGCTGAATGCAGCCACTCAAGTGGAAAGACTGTAATGCAGCACGTTACTCCTAAAAAAACAAACAAAACAAAAAAAACACTGGAATACACAGCCAAGCCCGCAAAACATTAATCAAACACAGTTACACAACATATATTAAAGGATGCAATCAAAACTAATCCTTAATCACCTTGAAGAGATATACTCATTCAAATGAGTATAACGTCAGATAATCAGACCAAAAAGATTCATTAATATATAGTCTTTCTAAGACTGTACGTTTTATATGTAATACTGTTACATATACTTACAAAATACATATATCCACAGGACCACAGCTGACAACTTCAGAGTCTAAATAGCTCCAAATAGCTCT